GTTTAGGGACACTATCAAAGCTCTGGGTCCCTGTAGCCTGGCTCCCTTGTCTTCTGAAGACACACAGCTAGGGGCAGAGCCTCTTTTCTCTGATTCTCAACTGGATTTCAACCAACTATTGGTGGGCCAGGTGCTTTCTTCTTTGAATCCCACCCAAACCAACCTTGGGAAGGTTGGACACCCCTACTGGATTTCCTGCTTAAACCCAGATGGCAATGCTGCTTGAGGCACCCCTTACACCCCTGTCCCAGTAGAGACAATTTCAAACAGGACGATAAGTCAACAGGGATTGAAGCGATAGGAAGGGGAATGAGGGTAAAGTACCCAGGAAATATTTATTAGCAGAAAAAGGGAGTTTTGGGCCAAAAACCATTGTAACTTAGGAAGTGGAAGGGCCATTTTCTTCATGACCTGAAAATGTTTTGAATAATCAGTTCCAGTGAAGATGTGATACATGTGTCTCACCTGTGGCTAAAAGCTCTCATTCATCTAATCCCTAGAGCAGCCTCTACAAAAAGATCAGAAACTAAAATTTTAGCTTCTCAGGTCATACAGTCTCTGCCGCACTGCTCACCTCTGCCTTCATACTGTGAAAGCAGCCGTAGGCACTGCTAAATGAATGGGTGTGGCTGTGTGCCAGTAAAGTTATTTATGGACACTCAAATTTGAATTTATTGTCATCTTCAGGTGTCACAAAATATTCTTTTATTTTTCCCAACCATTTAAAAATGTAAAAAAATGTCCTTTTTTGTTTTTTTGGAAGCTGGCTGGGACAGGGACCCACGCCTGGACCTTGGCATTATCAGCACCATGCTGTAACAGACTACTGAGCTAACCAGCCAGCCCACAAAAACAGCCTTCGCTTGTGGGCAGTACAAAAGAAAGAGGTGGGCCAAATTTGGGCTGAATTTGTCTCAGAAGCCATACATAGGTTTTCAGACCCCTGCTCTAGAGGAAGAATTTGATCTCTAAGCCCATATTCCCTTAAACTTCTTAGAAAAAAATATATTAGAGCAGGAACTCTGTCTTGTTTAACACCTAGAAAAGTACATAGTTGCAAACTTGGCTGTAAAAAACAAATAAGTAAAAAAAAGCACCTAGCTATATAGTAGAAGTCCAATAAATAATTGTGGAATGGTAGTCATTTATTAATTCAATAATTATTGAGTGCCTATTTTGTGAAAGGCACTATTCTGGGTACTGAAAAGAAAACAATGAAGAGGTAAACATTCCGTTCTCATGAAGCTTACCTTCTAGTAGGGGGAATAGGCATGAAACGGGTAAAATACATATCAGATCATCATAAGTGCTGGGGGAAAAAAAGAAAAAAGGAAGATAGGAAGTGGTGATGGCAATTCTAAGCAGGACTGTCAGAGAAGGGCTTGGTGACAATGACATTTGAGCGAAGACTTCAAGGGGACGAGGGAGTGAGGAGTGCAGAGATCTGGAGGAGGCTCCCAGACAGAGGGAACAGCAAGTACAAGGGACCAAAGGTGGAAGCACGTCTGGTGTGTTCAGAGAACAGCGATGAGGCTGGCAGGGCTGGAACGGAGTGAAAGGAAGGTGGGAAGAAATAAGGCCAGAGAGGAGTCAGTGGTCCAGATCTCAGAGGCTTTTGTAGTCCCTGGTAACGACTCTGTATTTCACTCTGAATAAGAAGGGAAGACAGTGGAAGGTTTTGAGTGGAAGAGGAACGTAAACTTTCACAAGGATCACTCTGGCTGCTGGGAAAAAACTATAAACTCTGCAGGAGTCAAGGGCAGAAGCAGGGAAATCAGTTAGGAGGTTACTCTGGATAATCTAGGCAAAAGATGGTGGTGGCTTGGACCCAGGAGGTAGCAATAAAAGAGGTGAGAAATGATCAGATTCTGGATATGTGTTGATTGAATGATACTTTTTTAAACAGTGTATTTGCTCAAGTTTAATTTTCTTAAGCTAGGTCAATGGGTTTGGTGTCAAGGGGTGGGGACAGAAGAGACCTGGGTCTTATTCCCAGTTCTAGATCTCAATTTCTCCATCAACAAAATGGAAAAAAGACCTAGTTATCATGAGGATTAAGTAAATAGTCAAAGTTCTCGGAAAGGTTCTCTTCTTGCCCACTGTATAAAGCACAAACCTGCACCCCACTTCCTCAGGCCGATTTACTTCCAACATACTCACCATGCTCTATTTGGAAAATGCCCAAACTCCCCTTAAGAAGGAAAGGGGGTGGAGGGGGCATGGCAAACAGGAGAGAATGTTTCAGTGGCTGCTAGTTTCTTTCTTTTTTCAGAGCTTTGTTTACAAGTGGCTGGAACAACACTGAAAAGAAAGTATACAACATTCCTGGCATTTCCCCTGATATGATGAAGCTAATTATTGAATATGCGTACACTCGGACTGTGCCTAT